TGACCGACTTTGTTGCTCGGTTCCTGCCTCCTTAAGCGCGGAAGAGGGAGCAGAAGTGGATGAAAGGGCACCTTCGATGGGCGCCAAATCTCTCTGCATTCCCTTTGACCAAGCTCAATTTGGAGATGTTGCGGGCAAGAAATGTCCTCAATGTGGCAGCGCCGCGAAGCGCTGGACAATGTTTGGAAGGTGAGCCCGATGCGTTCAAGCAAGCGCGCGCGCGCCCACACGTCCTGTGACTGTTCGCAAGCTAATCTAACTCGAGTTGCTCTTCATACACTTGTCACCCGCAGGAGCTACTAGGTGCCGATGCAGTGCTAGAAGAATGCTGTGAAAGACAATACGTCACACGTCCCCGTCTTTGTTTGAAAGCCATGAAGGCAAACATGCTCGTACTCGAACTCGAGCAGATGCGTGTGCGAATGTGCGAGACTTGGCCTCGCACTCTCGGACTTGAGCATTGGGCAGTCCGCAGTGCCACACGCGCGGCTCGATGGTGTAAGAGAATGAACTGATGGTTCCTCAGACTGAATTGGGAAAATGTAAGATCATCGATAAGGTTGCAGGAGATGGAGATGGAGAGGGGGAGGGGGAGGGGGGGGCGTTGCTGATAGCACTCGTACGTTGTTTGACATTGGCTTGGGCCCTGCAACAAGGAAGGGAATGGAATGCTCCGGGGCACGCTTGGGCAGCAAAGAAGAGTGGGGGGCTAAAGTACAGAGAATGCGGGGGGGGCCAGGAAATGACAGGATGTGCTGCATCTTGAGGCGTAGATCGCGCGTGGACTATAGGAGATGCTACTAGCCGAGGTCTTCGATCGAGCAATCTAGCAGCACCCTCCGCCCTGTCCTGACTGCCCATTTCTGATATCCACGCCGTTCCTGCCCTGCGCAGGATCGATCCTGCTTCCACCTCTTCCTCCAGCCCCGCCGGCCCTTGCAGCATTAGAAGCTGATTCTAGTGGCAATTTTCGAGCGATCATTGTAAATAGCTCGGACACATTGTGCGAGTCTTTTGCCGATGTCTCGAGGAACAGAAGGTTTTCTTCATTTGCGTAAGCTTGCGCTTCCTGCAAGGCATGAGCGGATGGAGCGAGAGGTTTAGCAATGAAGGATCAAAAGACGCAAAAATGTGTTGTGCAGAAGTCGTGCACGATCTGCCTCACCTCTGTGGGCACCGCTCGTCTGCTCGCAAGATCCGCCTTGTTGCCCGCCAGTGCGATGATGATGTTCGGATCCGCTTGACGCTGCAATTCCCGGATCCAGGCTTTGGCCTTCTCAAGAGAAGACTTGGGTGGTGAGGCAAGCGCATACACGAGATCAGTATCTCCCACAGTGAAGCTACCAAATTGAGCTGCCGAGCTGGCCACGCGCGATTCCAGCATTTGCGCAGCGTTTTTTTTAGTCCATCCATAGCACTCACTTGTTGTGTGATGTCGTACACTACGACAGCACAATTTGCGTTGCGGTAATACATAGGGGCCAGCGACTTGTATCTCTCTTGACCGGCAGTGTCCCTGAAATGCAGCAGCAAACGGTCAGTGACGGTTCCGCAGGTAATCCTTCAGTCGCTTCTCGTTGATTCCAAGTCTTCTTACCAAATCTCAAATTTGACAGTGGTAGACTCATCCAGGCTAACGGTCTGCGTCAAAAAAGCAGCTGTCGAGGGACAAAGATTGAGCAGGCCAGTCGAAGCACAATTGTAGGTTGCTGACCTGAACAGGGCTCTCACCTCCGATTGTGCTTTCTCTGTAGTCATCAAATTGATCCTTGACAAATCTGAGCACAAGACTGCAGGAAAGAGAAGTTGGTTGTGATCAGTGATCTGAAGAAGATGCACCTGTTGCGGCGCTGCCAGGCTTACCTGGACTTTCCAACGGCACTTTCGCCTGCATGATGGACAACAAACGGGACGCGCTTCCATTAGTCAAGAAGAGGTGTTGAATCTGGCGCAAGTCGCTCACCCAGCAAGACCAGCTTGAATTGAAGTTGCTTGGCTCCTGATCGAGCAGCTGCCATCTTGTGCAAGAGCGACTGCGCTGTATATTAAGAGTCGTAAAGGATGAATGAAGCCCCTACAGACCAGCTTGTGTGGTGGTGTAGCTGGTGCAAGATTGCTGAGAGTTTTGCGAATGCAAGGGCAAGGATATGCGGGCCTCTTGAAGAGCTGCTCGTGATGGAGTCGCGCAGTAGACGTCGAGCTTGGAATCACAAATCGAGACTGCAAGGGCTCAAGTGGCGTCGGCGCAGTAGTGTTGGCTAGTCGAGATCCAAGAGTGATGCTGATCGTTTGTAGCGCTCTCGATTTGCCGATAGGTGCGGTGGCCGCTGCGCAATACCTGAGATGCGAGCGATGGCGGGAGCGAGACTGTTGCACTGAGTGCGCACCGGGATGTGTGCACAAGAGCTTTGTGTGATGAGATGACTAGAGCTCAGCGCAATGGGAATCGAGGGTGCTTCAACGTTGAGATGAGATGAGCAAGTACTCACAACTGCTTGTGAGATGATGGATGAGGGAAGGTGGACAATGGATGTGGAGACGGGCTGAGATCACGATGTCATCATCCCATGCCATGCCATGCCGCCATGCCATCCCATCCCATCCCATGCCATCAGCCACGCGATGGCTCGCAATCTCAAATCACGATCGAATTCACAACCTGGGTGCATGCTCGC